TTTTATTTTAATAAAAAAGAGATCTTACTAAGATACTCAGTAACTGTCACTTTTACACTAATCAGATCACTCCAGCAAGAAAGTTCAAGAATAAGTTCCAGAAGATGATTTACATTATGACTCAGCTCTCAAGGACAGACACAAAATATGCATAACCTTCCAGATCTTAGGATGATTAGGCTTTGAGACCACATATATTTAGTCCTGCATGACAGCACGCTAACATTTATCACTGGTCATTAGCAATTGGTAATCTGTGGGCTCTGCTTCATTGTTCAACTCTATTGTTCTGAAACAATACAGCTTTGCTTTTTTTGACTGGAAGGGAAAATCCTGTAGACAAAAAACACTGTCATTCAATGAATTGAAAATGGCCATTTCTGTAAGGCACATCCTTGTGGCATCTTCCACTTCAGAGTATCCAGACACCTGGCTAATCAACCCTCTTTAAAAGAATCTCAAGTAATAATAGCCAAGGTACAAATCAAAACCAAGTTGCATTTAAAATGTGTAATCACCATAACATTGTGAGACTTTAATATTCTTAGAGTCAAGCAGAAAATATAGCCCCTCTAAAAAAAAATAAGATTTAGATGTCCTTCCAATCTGGAGCTTCTTGACCCTTTACAAATAATGTGTTCATAGTGTTTTCTGTTTTCTTGTCTTCCTTTTTGCTCTGATCTTTGCACCAAGGTCAATGAGCTGTCATCAGTGATGGCAACAGAAAGCCATGTTATTTAGTAAATAAGCTTGACCAGTTTAAAATCCGAGACAGCACGATTACCAAAACTGCAGGCATGTCACTAGATAACGATAATGTAATTGGCAATCAAGTACTGGTATATTGACTGAACAGAACTAAATCCAGAATCGTTTACCACCAATACCTGTGCTTTCTGAAAGCAACAAAAGTCAAGAAAATGAACAGTGCATTTGTATTCTTAACCCCCTGGGAAGGAAGTTCTATATGTTAGAACTGTCAATTAATTGCTACTTTTACACTTCTTGATCTACACTCCAAGTAATGCCTCTTGTGGCCAGTTATTACAAAAACACCAACTACATAGTCACTGAAAAAAGACACATAGATGCTATTGTTAAATCAAGATTTTCCCTGTGTTCAGAGGCAGAGCTCGGTATCAAAGTAAACTGGTTTGAGCAATGATCCATGATAAGCATGAAATATGGGAATGTACATATTCTTAAGTACTGCAAATTATATTTTAATCTTTCTTAGCTCTGAACTTCTTTTCCTCCTTGAGATGGGAACTATTTCAACCATCCCCCACCCACTCCACTGAACACTTTTAGCTACTCTGCTGGTGGAAGGACTCTATGATATCTATTTAGAATAACAATAAATTGTGATGGCGAGTTCTGGAAAGCAGGGGACAACAGCAAATAAGAATCCTATAACGGGCATGGGGCAGGCACTGTGGCTTAGTGGGTAAAGCTGTTGCCTGCAGTGCTGGCATCCCATATGGACACCGATTTCAAGTCTCAGCTGCTCCACATCTGATCCAGCTCTCTGCTATGCCCTGGGAAAGCAGTAGAAGATGGCCCGAGTCCTTGGGCCCCTGCACCCATGTGGGAGATCCAAAAGAAGCTCCTGGCTCCTGGCTTTGGATCCGCGCAGCTCCTGTTGTTGTGGCTAATTGGGGAGTGAACCAGCGGATGGAAGACCTCTCTCTCTTTCTGCCTCTCTTTCTCTCTCTGTGTTACTCTTTCAAATAAAATAAGTACATCTTTGAAAAAAAAAAAAAAGCGAGAGAGAATCCTATAACAGGTAGAATGAGGCTACCATTTAGCAATCCCAGCACTGCGTATTTCCATACTAAATTTCTTTTTTTTTTTTTAAGATTTATTTATTTATTTGAAAGTCAGAGTTACACAGAGAAGGAGAAGCAGAGAGAGAGAGAGAGAGAGAGAGAGAGAGGTCTTTCAACCGCTAGTTTACTCCCTAATTGGCCTCATGGCTGGAGTTGTGCCAATCAAAGCTAGGAGCCAGGAACTTCTTCCAGGTCTCCCACGCTGGAACAGGGGACCAAGGACTCGGGCCATCTTCTACTCTTTTCCAGGCCATAGCAGAGAGCTGGATCGGAAGTGAAGCAGCCGGGACTTGAACTGGCGCCTATATGGGATGCCGGCACTGTAGGCAGTGGCTTTACCCACTATGCCACAGTGCTGGCCCCTCCATACAATTTCTAAGCTACATCAGTTATCTTGAGCTATTCAGCACGATACAACAAAAATAAGTGTTGTATTGAGAGCTAGATAGGATCCAACACATCTCATGCTCTGGACAGGACAGCTACCTTTTTCATTCCCTTCTTGTTCCCAACATTAGGTCACAATTAACAAGGTCAACATGAACAAATGGATGACATTGAAGTATGAAGAAAGCTCCATCATAAAATAATGGGTTTTAAACTACAAAAGGGTCACCTCAATTTTGTGTGTGTGTGATTTCCAATCACTTATAATCTGCGGGCCACGTCTTTTAAAAACCAAAATTCATGTTTGAAATCTCAATTTCTATATTTATCCAGATTATATTCCACATCCTTGTCTTTCTGTCATTTATATTGTGTCAAACTAGGTAAATACTGTCCTCTTCAAGGAGACTTCAGGGATTTGGGGGAGGCAAGCTGAAAATGTTTGGGATCAGAACAAGGGTTTAGTATAATAATTTCTCCCTGTCACCTCAATTATTACCATTAATTGATGGCTGATTAAAGCTGATTCTATTCTATTCTTCCTCACCAAAACTCCAGGGCAGTGTTTTTCAACCTTTTTTTCATTATTGCCAACACCCTAAAGAATGTTTATAGACATTGTTTCCCTGTCTCTGTGAAATATTAGTACCACAGATATATTATGAAGGAACACAAACAACTGGAATAGCTAAGATATTTTCATCACCTAACATCCAATATTATACTCATAGAAGCAATATTTCTTGAATATACGCTCATTGAAGAAAAAGTAGCCTTTTGGAAATTCCCCTAACTAATAATACATTGTAAATGTTCATCATTTTGCTCTGTATAAAATAATTTTTTGACTTTTTCTTTTTGGTCTGTTTCTAAGCTGTGATTGATAGGGAAGAAAGTACTGAGCAACCTAATCTAAGTGTGTGTGTGTATGTGTATATATATATGTATATATGTGTGTATATGTGTGTGGGGGCAGGGGACTGTTAGAGTAACTGCAAAACAACTTTAGCTACAACGTGAAGAAGTAAGAAATCGAGGGTAGTTTTCAAATTTTTGATGAAGCAAGGCATTTCCCATATAGGCTAGGTAGATACACAGATTTTAACAATGAAAAATAAAATGAGTTCATTCCCTTTCCAAAAACAAAAATAACAGAACTTCTAAACTGCATGGCTTGGTTTTAGTCAGCATCTTGGATTAACAGGCAGTGGTTACATACTTTTCATAATCTGTCCTTGGCATCTTGTAACTGATACTTAAGAGGCTAAGGATTACAAAATTATGGCTATGAGGTCATGCAAATCGTAAGTGGCGTTTTATCCTATGCGATTGAAAGGGCACATCAAGCACAAACATTAATACATTTAAAAAAAAATCAGCTAGAAGATCTGTTCCCAGGGAAAACACTAAAGGATAAAACCATAAAAGTTAGGTCTTGAACCTAACCTATATTTTAAGTTTAGTAAGAACCTTTTTTTGCTTTAAGATGAAGGATTATCAAAACTGCACTGCTGGAATATTTTATACAAAAACATTTTTATGAAGTAAGGTGACTCTGCGCTTCCCCAGCCACCACCTCTATCACTTCAAGTGCCTTGAGCACAATGAAATCCGGAGTCTACTTGTCATCAGAGAGCACAATAGAGTTTTTTTTCTTCAAAGTCCCAAAGTCTTCTGATGAAGTCCAAATTAAGAGCATACCAAGAAAGCAACTGATAAGGTAATAAGATGACTTATATGAAGTTACCAAGTCAGACAGTTAAATGTTGCCAGCCAAATATTAAGAATAGCTGTGTGTATTAGAATTTGAAGCAAGCAAGAGAGAAAGCCTTAATGTAGCAACAAACAAAAAGACCAAACCAAGGGGTCAGTTCAGGTACATGACAGGAACAGCTGCAAATCGCTGGGCCCATCAGCTGCAACTGGGAATTGAAGAATAAATCAGCTTCAGATATCAGCAGAGGCCCCAGAAGGTAAATAAACTCAATTTAGAATCCCTGGGAGTGAATGACCCAGGTGTCCTCCAGAGTAAAGGAAAACAAGCATGCCTGCTGGGCACCTGGCTTGGGATGGCTGTTTCAAAAGCCTGACTCCTTGCAAACAGTTGGAAAGTCTGCTGGGCCAAGAAAGGTAACAGCTGAAGCCAGCTCCCCCTGGAGCACAGATGCAGCCCCAGAAGCCCTGGGTTCAGTTTCTGAACCATGCTCACTCAGCTCCAACGTGAAAGTCCCTTAAGGGGCTGAGCCGGCAACATGCTTGCTGCCCGACACCTTGTTCTGAAAATTGAGCTTAAAGTACAGTCGCTCCACTGAAACGCATTATCCCTCGCCTCCGCATTATAAATAAATAAATAAATAAATAATAAACCAGCCGAAGAATGGCACTCTTGAGTCCCTCCACCTATCACCAAGGCCCGATTTTTCAAAAGGTTAAGAGCTTGCCCCAGGGGCGGCACAGCGTGCAACTTTCTCCAAGTCTGGGATGAGGCGCCCGCATCCTGGTATCAGACTCCTGGAGACAAGAATGATTTCTCTGGGGTGCAGCAAGATACCGCCTGTCCTGACCTATTCCACCTGCACATGTCCACTTCTCCTCAGTCCCATTCCGGAACAAGGGACTCTCTCAGGACTTAGGACAGGCACGGGATCCTCCCTTCCCGAACGCGGCGTTCTGCCTGGGCTCATAGGCAAGACTCCAAAAGGAGAAAACACATGCAGAAAACAATGAGGACAACAGCAAACCTGACTTCTATTCCTTAATTAAAAAAGAAAACGGCTCTCTTACCATCTCGCCGGAGATTGGCGTTGCGCAAAGCTTTGATGGATGCGCTCTGCGGGGTGGCCGAAGTGTCCCGAGAGCTGCAGAAGTTTCCGCAGACTAGAGTGTAGACGAGGATGAGCCGGTGCATTTGGGATTGGCGACCTCGGGTCAGTGTCGCTCCCTGAAAAAGCCGGGTTCCGCTCCTGGGACGGACGCCGCGCCGCCGTGCCCCTCGCCGCCTGCGCTCGCCGCGCGCTGGCCCGGGCCGCCTTGCTAGTCGCCGAGCTCGCCCCAAACTTCCTGCATGCTGAACTTTCCGAGCGCGTGTGCGTGCCGCACTTCCTTGTGCTGGTGCTCGGAGTTGATACACGGTGACGGGACAAACAACAGGTTGACGTTTGTTTGCCCCCTCCGGTGGCCAGCAGCTGCAGCACAGGCTGCAGGGAGCGGGCGGCGCCGCGGCCGGCCCGGCAGGCGAGCGCGGCAGCCGCGTCCTCCCAGGGCGGTGGCGGCGGCTGTGGTCCCTGCGCTCCGACAGCTCTCTCTGGCTGGGAGTAGCGGCGCAAGCACCCCTGCTGCCCGGGCCCGGCCCAAACCTCCTCTGCCGCCTCTGAGCATGCCCAGTTTGACAGGGGGCCAGGACGCTGCTCATTGCCCTTGACTTTACCCTAGTTGTGGGACCAGAAAGGCAACGGGGGGGTGGGGGCGGCGGGGAGTGGCCAGGAGGAAGTGGGAGAAAATACAGTCTGGGTATTTCTCCAAAGGTGACTCTCGCGTCCACCTTCAAGACGGTTCTTGCCTTGGAGGCTTGGGATTTGGGGAGGACGCATGGAATTGGGAGGAGAGTGTCTTTTACAGTAACCACATGGGATTCTACTTCAAGATTCTTCTGTAGGTGTGGTGAAAAAATGTAGTTGCAAGCGAGTTTGATTCCAGGTTTTTCCTTGTGGGCTCCAAACAGTGTAACTTCAGGTGAGGCAAGGATAATGTCTGGAAGCGAGGATATGAGGCCAGCGCTTCCTTTCCCCTGCCCAGGGCTGCATGCCTGGTGATGACTCAAAGTGGTGGAGTGCAAGGGTACATCAATGGTGCTCCCATGCCTGCCCTCGCTCCCTGTACAGGGCGTGGGCTGCAGGGCAGGGTGTGGTAGAGCAGGGACAGACTGAGCAAGGTGAGCGGGTGCCCTGAGTCTCGCGCTCCTCTGCCTTCACTGTGCGTGGAAAGAGACAGGCAGAGTCCCTCTCTTCCCTCTGTCTGGAAACCGGGCAGTCCAGAGGGGCTGGCTCTGGGTTCCAGAAACGCCCAAGTGAGTCCAGACCCCCCCCCCCCTTACTAGCCAGAACAAATTATTGGGCCTCCTGAACTTCAGTTTCTCATATTTACGAAGTGAAGTCAGCAATTCTTAGTCTGTATGATGGTGTTGAGTATGATATGAAAAAAAAAAAAAAAGCTTTCGTGTATTGCCTTATTTCTAACTGAATCCAAATCCAAATCTCCATAATTCTCAACTTTGCACCAAGACCTATAAAGGAAATTTTCCACTCTCTTCAAGGCCTTCCGGCTCCTGGAAGCCTGTGGTATAGGAAGTGTTATCCATAACCAGGGAGCTGCAAGCGGCTGAGAAGGATCAGGGGTTCAGAGGATAATAGACTTACCACCCAACATGGAGGTACCTGTCCTGCTTCAGCAAAATCAGATGTGTGTTTCGTGTCTACGGACACTTTGGACTGCAGCGATGTGCTACAAAATGCTGACTTGTGGATCATGAAATCAAAGTCAAGGCTAGCATTTTAAATAAAATACATAGAATGGAATCCATAGCTTAGAAATTTTTTTATCAGATTTCATTAATGATGATACTGTCTCATGAATATTTTGTTGCACACATACTTGTGTTCATCTGTAACACACACAACAATGTAAAAGGCATTTCTGTAAGGCATGTATAAAAAAAGGTTAAAGGCCACTGGAAAAAAGATCCAAGTATATTGTTTACAATCAACTTGGTAAGAGGCACTGAGGAGAGACACCTGTGTTCAATCAGTTATTCAATGAACTTTTTTTTTTTTTTTTTAATTGCAAAGTAGAATGATAGAGACAGTCTGGTACATTCCCCAACTGCCCACAAGGGCTGGAACTGGGCTGGGACTATAGTTGGAAGCCACAAACTCAATCCAGGTCTCCCTTGTAGGTGGCAAAAGCTGAATTACTTGAGCCATCACTCATACCCAGCAGGGTCTGCTTTAGCAGGAAGCTGAAGTCAGTAGCCAAAGCCAGAGCAAGGAATCAAAAACCTTGGTATTCTGATGTGGGATTCAGGCATCTTAACCAGTAAGTTCAATGCCTGCAGCCTCATCAACAGATATTAATGAAGCACTAGCTTTTTTCTTTGTGTCATGCCATAATGTAAAAAGTGAGTGAGACAAAACATCTAATTCCTTGAGCTTACAGGCTAACGGAGAGCAACCATAAACAAGTAAACATATATCCATATAAATAGAAGATTGATAGAATAGAAGTAGGGTCAATTGAAATACATGCTATCCTTTTTTAGTAGTGTTTGGGAATACTTATTAAATTTATACTTAGCTCCTGACATGAGACTATAGAATGGGAAAATGTGATAGTGATGTATGTTATTATGCTAAGTATCAAGTTGTTACAATTACTTGTCTTAATATCTTGCATAAAATATGAAATGTAAAGTACGTTAGTCTGTGGCATAGCGGAAGCTGCTTTCTGCAGTGCCAGCATCTGATATGGGCGCCAGTTCAAGTCTGGCTGCTGCATTTCTGACCTAGCTCTCTGCTATGGCCTGGGAAAGCAATGGAAGATGGCCCAAGTCCTTGGGTCCCTGCACCCCCGTGGGAGACCTGGAGGAAGTTCCTAGCTCCAGGCTTTGGATCAGCGCAGCTCTGGGCGTTGTGGTCAATTGCAGAATGAACCCTCGGATGGAATACCTCTCTCCCTCTCTCTCTTTCTCTCTCTCTCTATCTATCTCTCTCTCTGCCTCTCCTCTCTGTGTAACTGTGACTTTCAAATAAATAAATAAATCTTTAAAAAATATTGATTACCATTCAAACTAATATAAATCAGCCATTCTATAACAAAAAGTGATTATATTGTTTATAAAAGTTAAAAAAAAAACGAAACATGAGAGCAACTTATAATACATCCATGTACAATGGAATTCATCCCAAAGAAATATTCTGGCAGGAAGGATTTGATAAAAGAATTTCGTAGGCTATAACACAATTTTATCATGTACTCTTCTGTTTATAGAACACAAGATGGTGTTTTCTGTTACATTTTCAAATATTCTTGACTACTTTCACTACTCATAAAAGCCATGGTGGAAAAAAATGAACTACAACATGAACTATTAGCATTTTCATTTTTGAATGTGGTTACCAGTGTTATTTCCTTCTTTTACCGAATCTCTGCCAATCTTTCAACTTGTAACTTGCAGGCTAGTTCTCTTGACAATTGGTGTCCTTTTGCAAAGTCTACTTCCTTCAAAGAGGGCATTTTTTGTTGTTATTCTTCCACTCATTTAGAACCTGAAAAAGCAAAGCATTGTGACAAGGCATCCCAATTTCTTCTCTACCATAAGGCTATTGAGCTTGGTCAATAATGACTTTCATAAGAATTCCCTTATTGCCTGTAAAATGGCAGTGTTTTACTGGATTACCTTCAAGACTCCTTTCCAAACTCTCAATATTTTGTCTTATTTTTAAAATTTGCCTTCACTCATAATTTTCACCGTGCACCAGGTATGTAACTTTATCAAGGTCAAGTTTATTTAAACTAGGTTTTATTGGAAAGTTTGGTTATATGTAATAAGAAACATTTCTATAATTTTTAATGAACTGGTATTTTAAAATTTCACTAATATGTACTAAAATGATAGTTTGATTTGTATCTAATATTAACAGATACTTCTGCTTTCAAAATTCTATTTTTGTTTAAATAAATCAATTGGTCAAATTTGTAAAAATCTACATAAAGAGAATATGTTATAGTAGTAGAATTAATATAATAGAGGAAATACAATTGGTTAAAATTGTGGGGTAAATCTTGAAAAATGACACATTAACTCTGCTACTTTAAGACAACTAATGGAGTGATTTTATCCAATGATTTGGCTCAGAAGAACTGTATCAAACTCATTTTTTTCAAAATTAAAGAAAAATGTGTAAGTATTATGGTTCCTAAAGAATGAGTTTAAATATGCAAAAAATGACCAACTGTGGTAATTTTCCTAAATGCTAGAATGTTTATAGAATATTTTATGTTAAATATTGTGGGGGCGGCTGAAACCGGAGAGGCCTAGCAGAAACTTCCTGAGCCTGTCTAGAATTTGAAAACCTGACTTTAAGTTTCAAATCCCTGGTGGCAAACACCCCAGCCCCAGGGCGCTTTTGCCTAAGGATCATTAAGGTGGTATAATAGGAGTGGCTAGGACCCTTTTGCATCACATCACCCCACCCCTTGCCCGCATCTGCTCTTCTGCTCTGTACCATCCACTCTGTACCTCAGCTATATACACACCTCCCTTTTACAATAAAGTGAGACCTTGCTTCGACTGGGCTCCACACCACGCCTGATTGTCCCCCAGGTTTGGGGAAGGCTGAGTGGCAGGTGGCGCACTTCCCCTCCTCAGTCAAGGCAAGCTGCGGGCAGCCTACCTAATTCTCTGGAGGTGGCAAGGAACAGTCACCGCAAAATATGTGCTAATATATTGTTCTGTTAACTTAATTCAACTTTTCTATAACCCATCCTATAACCTATTGTAACTTTTAACAATTAAATTACCCTTTTGTTGAACTCTCAATTTTTAACGTACCACTTTTAATTTCTCATTTGTAATGTACCACTTTTAACCCCCCCATTATTAATAGTTATAATTGTATTAGTAGTTAAATAGTTAATAACCATTGTTAATAGTCAAATAAGTCACAAAAGACTTTTTAAGCACCTTTTCTTAAAAACAATAATGTATTCTTCATGCGTAAAGGCAGAGGAAATGCTTCTGAAATTAAGACTCTTTGGGGTACTGAAATGTATTGACTTATTTAATTTGTTTCAAAGCAGCATTAATTTACTCTTCTTTTCAATTATTAGCAAGGGAGCTGTGCCCTGAGTGTTGCTTTTCGCCAACAGACCATGACACTGAGTTCCTTTTTGTTAGCTATTTATCTTTAAAGCTGTAATTTCAGTGGCACATACTAAATGTCTACTAAAAAAGGAAGATAATTAGTAGTGATAGTTCTGTTTGCTTTATAGACTCAAATATAGACTGATTTCTATTGCTGGGTCCTAACTTGAAGGAAATCATAAGTCAGCACAATAACAAGTCCGGGTGTTTTTAATTTGTATTGCATGCTGTAGCTTATATTGTAAATATAGGCAATGTCCATTTGGGACCACACCATATTGTCTAGCCTGCTACATAGCAAGGTCAAATACAACATATCAAGCTGTGGTGCTGGCTCATTTTGAGCTATGACTTTCAGATTTGATCATTTAAATTTGATTGTAGTTGAGACTCTCAGTTTGACATTTTGACAATAGGTCCAGTCAGTC